TTTGCTGATGACACCAAGCTGTGTGCTGTGGTCGATGCACTGGAGGGAAGGGATGCTATCCAGAAGAACTTGACAAGCTTGAGAGGTAGGCCCGTGTGAACCTCGTGAAGTTCAACACAGCCAAGTGCAAGGCCCTGCACATGGGTCAGGACAATCCCAAGCACAAATACAGGCTGGGCAATGAGTGGATAGAGAGCAGCCCTGAGGAGAGGGACTTGGGGGTGTTGGTCAACAAGCTCAACATGACCTGGCAATCTGCACTCAGCCCAGAAAGCCAACCGTATCCTGGGCTGCATCAAAAGAAGTGTGACCAGCAGGTTGAGGGAAGTGATTCTCCCCCTCTACTCTGCTCTGGTGAGACCCCACCTGGAGTACCGCATTCAGCTCTGGGGCCCCCAACTTAAGAAGGACATGGACCTGCTGGAGCAGGTCCAGAAGAGGGCCATGAAGATGATCAGAGAGCTGGAGCACCTGTCCTAGGAAGACAGGCTGAGAGTTGGGGTTGTTCAGCCTGGAGAAGAGAAGGCTCCAGGGAGACCTTATAGCAGCCTTCCAATACCTAAAGGGGGCCTACAAGAAAGCTGGAGAGGGACTTTTTACAATGGTATGTAGTGATAGGAAAAGGGGTAATGGCTTTAAACTGAAAGAGGATAGATTTAATCATAGAATCACCGTCCTATCTCCAGCCACCTGACAGAAGAGACCAGCACCCACCTCACTACAACCCCCCTTCAGGTAGTTGTAGAGAGCGATGAGGTCTCCCCTCCGCCTCCTCTTCTCCAGACTAAACAGCCCCAGCTCCCTCAGCCACTCCTCATAAGACTTGCGCTCCAGGCCCCTCACCAACTGGTTGCCCTTCTCTGGACACGTTCCAGCAACTCCATGTCCTTCCTGTAGTGAGGGGCCCAAAACTGAACACAGTACTCGACATCCTTTTTGTGTCTGAGTTTGTCCAGGAGCTCCTTGTTCATCCATACAGGCCTCCTGGCATTTTTGCCTGACTTACTCCTTGCTGGGATGCATTGTTCCTGAGCTTGGAGGTGGTGATCCTTGAATATTAACCAGCTTTCTTGGGCCCCTCTTCCCTCCAGGGCTTTATCCCATGGTACTCTACCAAGCACATCCCTGAAGAGGCCAAACTCTGCTCTTCTAAAGGCCAGGGTAGTGAGCTTGCTGTGCACCCTCCTCGCTGTCCTAAGGATCTTGAACTCCACCATTTCATGGTGCTGCCCTTGAGCTTCGCATTCCCTACCAGCCCCTCCTTGTTGGTGAGAACAAGGTCCAGCACAGCACCTCTACTTGTTGGCTCCTCTATCACTTGGAGAAGGAAGTTATCATCAACCTCCTGGATTGCTTATGCCCTGCTGTGTTGTTCCTCCAACAGGTATTGGGTCAGCTCCTCATCCATCTCCAGACAGAGCTCCATGCTGGTCATTGATGTAGAGGGTGACACCCCCTCCTCATCTCCCATGCCTGCCCTTCCTGAAGAGCCTGTATCCTTCCATCCCAACACTCCAGCCATAGAAACCACTCCACCATGTCTCCGTGATGCCAGTGAGATCATAGGCCTGCAGGTGTCTGCAAGTCTCTAACTCCTACTGTTTACTGCCCATGCTATGTGCATTATTGGATAGAGACATTTAAGCTGGGCCCCCGATGAAGCTAACTTACTGGCTGGAGTGGCTGGAATTCCTTTGTGCTGCTCTCCAGCTGCTCTCCTGCTGACCTGTGATCCCTCTCCAGGCTCTGGGCATCTACTGCTGGCACTGGCAACAAACAGGTAGGAGTGGAATGGATTGGGTTCCTTCCCCTCCCCCAGCAACTTATTTTAAAGCTGTCTTCACCAGCTTGGCAAGCCTATGACCAAAGATGCTCTTCCCCTTCTCTGACAGATGTACCCCATCAGCCCCCAGTAGACCAGGTTTCTTGAAGTGAGTGCCATGGTCTAAGTAGCTGAACCCCTGGTTGTGGCACCAGTCCCAAAACCATTTGTTGATTCGCCAGGTTTGACTGGCCCTTTCAAACCCCTTCCCTTTGACCAGGAGGATTGTTGAAAAAACTACCTGTGCTCCAGAGTCCCATACTGCTGCTCCCAGGGCTCTGTAATCCTTCTTCATATTCCTCAGACTGCAGATAATAGTCAGTGGACTGTATGAGGCTTGGTAGTTTCTTGATGATGTCCCCAACACAAGGCGCCAGTAAGGAGTGCAGCTCTCTAGAGTGTGTCAGGTAGGCAAATGGGTACCTCTGTACCTCTCAGAAGAGAGTCACCTACTACTATCACCTGTTACCTCTTCATAGTTGCGCTGGTTGTTATACAGGGAGCGGATCAGGCTGCCTTACTCAGCTGCAGCATCTCTCCTGATATGACAGGTCTTCCCTCTTTGGTCTGCAGAGTGGTGAAGTGGTTCTGCAAGGGTACCTCAGCCTTCAGGGGAAGTCTCTTCCTCCTGCAGGTCCTTGCTGTTGCAAGCTTCCATTCTTCTGCATTATTGGCTCCCCTCCCTTCTGTGTGTGCCAGTAGGGGAGTTTTTGCCTGTTTGGCTGTGGGCAGTGGGTCCACTGCAGACTGCACTTGGAACCCGCTACCTAACCCATTCTCAGCCTCCCTAACACTACGCAGCCTTCTCACTGCCTCCTGCAGCTCAGCCACCTGCTGCAGGAGGTCCTCCCCCTTTTGCAGGCAGGTCTGCTGCCTGTCCCTGCCCCAGGAAAAAGGTCCAGGCACTGCCTGCTGTCTGCGGTCTGCACTGCAGCCTCTCCCTTCAGCAGCTCCATCTGGGTGGAGGCAATGGCCACCACTGGGGTAGACAGTGCAGACCCCCCAGCCAGAGCTGCAGCCTTTGCTCTCAGATGAGTGCCCACCAGTCCGCCTGTTGTGCAACAGTTTTAGAGATTTCTTCTCACCTTAGCTGTTTATTTAACTCACAGCTCGTCACAGTCCAGATAAGATCTGCTTGATATATGACATGCCAGCATTACTTTCAACTTCACAACAGAATTGACATTTGACAAGCCCAGCACCTCTCTAGTAAGGCATAGTATGGTTCTCTTTCTACTTCTCTGGTCTCAAAGTGAAAAATCTCCACTGATTCTCCTCTGATAACTGCCACAAAGAGCACAGACTGCCAGGCAACAACACACAAAATGCCAACACTAAACACTAACTTGTTTAATTTCTTTCCTACTAGAGGTACAAATATATTTCATACTTAAATTTCTTGCCCGATTTGGCCTGAGTTCCTCCATTCCATATGTGGTCATCCTCTTCATAGAAGAAGAAAATATCAAGTTTCACACCATCTTCTCCCTGGAAAGAGAGTTCCAAGCTGTCTTCTACCTGCAAGACAAAAATATGAACTGTAAAAATACAAAGCTACTTATGTCAGCATGTTTCAGAAAACAAATTTATTTTGGTCAGGTATGCAGAGTGACTCCTATCTTAACTGAAGAAAATACACTAACTCTGCAATTTCTCCTTTTTTTTTTTTTTTTTTTGATGCCTTGAGACCATGGGAAATTTTCCACACCTCAGTGGGACTACCTTCTCTTTCCTCCCTTTAGCCCCAAAAGCTTCAGCACCATCTCCTTGTCCTCTGCCACAAGCAAAATAATCTCAGTGAATAAATACATGATTAGGTGTCTTCATTTAACACACGTTCTTTCTGATAAAACACTCACTAGCACCCGTAAGGATGTATCACTTTAACTGTGGCTGAACCTTCATATTCCTGTAATTTTGTTTTTCTCTACCATTCTGCAGCCGACATTTTGAAACAAAGCTAAATAAAGATCCACATAAGCTAATAATGAACAAGCCCAGCGCTCACCTCAAGCCAGCCTCCCCCTTCTGCCAGTGTTACATACAAGGCTACAGATAATCTCAGAGCTATCACCAATCCTCCTACATGACGAGGCCCATCCAATCTCAAAGACTAAATTCTACCTTGATTCTTAAGTTTCTCTAGCACCACTGACACAGATCACACCCCTTTAAAACTTATTAAAAACTTCTGAGGTGGAATTCAGACTCCCCAAACAGGGCTGAAGCTATTAAGAAGGGTATTTTCTCACACACTGTCCAAAAGAACACACAAAAATCAACAAGATTATGTGTTTAGGTAAAACCCAAAAGAACACACAAAAATCAACAAGATTATATGTTTAGGTAAAACCCTAATGAGTAAATGTCTGCTGAGGAGACTTCAGATACCCACTTCTACGTAAGTGATCTGCATCTGTACTTAAACTTACGAACCTACAGAAAGACACATTAAACAAATTGTTCATTATCTATGTACCTTGCCAAATTTGTGCTTCAGTGGTAATCCTGCTTTCTGAAAGGCTGGAATGATATCTGTTTTGTAGTCCCTTATAAAGACTCCCAAATCCACATCTTTGCTGTGAGGAATGACATTGCACTGTCTATACCAGCCTGAAGGAAAAAATTCAGGAACAAGAGCAACATATCAGCAGAACAAAAGCAACATAAAAATGAACTGCCATAAGGTCACCAGGCAGAGATCTTTGAATGAGGCCATGAAAAAGACTTCTGCCTTTCTCTCCTATGAAATGAACCACATTGAGGAAAACAAATATTACTGCACTTATAGCCAGCTCTTTCCTCCAGAAAGCCAAGAATGAGAGAAAACAGTAACTCTTTCAAAGACAAAATATCTTCAGTTTTCTAATCTAAATGTCTTTAAAGAAAAAAATATTCTTTACCTGACCCCAAATCTAATCAGCAAAGACCAGTTACAGGGCTACAGTTGTGCTTTTAATTTGAAACTATTATTTTAAATAGTATCTGAGACATTCATCATCTTTCAGTTACCACTGCAAAACAGTGAGACAAGAAGTGGGACATCCTTTTGTCTGTTTCATTAAAGCAGCTTTTAGTAATTGTTCATTCAGAAAATTATATTCCCTAGGACTAAACAAACACAAGTCAAGTGTGCACACACATGAGTTTTCAAAACCTATTTCAAAAATAAAAGAATCTTCACCAGTGATAAGATACTACTTCCACCTTTAGCAGAATTGAAAACTTGCAGTACCTACTCTAATAGGCTGACATTTTACTAAAACATGTGTTTTAAAATAAATAAGGAACTGTTAACTATATTTGAAAAGTCAGTGATAAGCACCAAATTGCATGGGAAGAAAAATCAGCTGAGATTCTACATGGACAGCAGAAATACATGCCCATCACTGTGTCTTCCAACGAGCATTTCAGTAAATTCCAAGTCACAGAATTTAGGGAACTGCTGATTATTTTCTAACCAGTGATCAACACAACACAGATAATTGCTAAAAACATTAAATGCTTCACTGGAAACTTGTTCAGCATCTCCAAGGCTCGGGTTTCTAAACAAAAAGAATTTTGTCAGGAGCAAAAAGGCCTATTTAAATACAGCTAACGCCACATATTACCTTCAAACCCAGTACATTTAACCTCAGCTGACATCACAAGCAATAGAGGATGAAGTGTTTAAAACTTCATATTAGTTTAAAAATGCAACATAACACAAATGTTTTACCAAGGCATGTTCCACTGCTCAGCCAGAAATTTACTCCTAAGTTATTCAGTGTCAGAGCAGCCAGATGGAGCAAGGATTTTGCTTTTTTTCTGAACTCCACTGCATCAAGAGAGGCATCATCAGGATACAGCTGGAAGGCAAAGGAAAAGTAAGCAAGCTAATGTCAGAGAGCAAATATGTGCCTTCATTTTTCAAGTGTCCTAAGAAAAAATGACCCTTAAAACTTTACTTAACTAATATCTGGGCAGTATCTGTTTTCACATACACAACCCAGTTTGAGAACATGCACTAGAAAGACAAGTTAAAATTTATAAACTCTGAAACATAAATCTTCAGTTTTTCCAAACTAGCAGAATGTAAAGTCCCAGTAAAATAGAGTAAGAATGTACGTATTAGACACTGATTCTCAGCACTTGGCAACAACACAGACGAACCCTGGTTCTGCACACGCTGAAGTCAATACCCAGAGTCCAGGGGGAAAGCAGGGACATAATCAGAGTTACTTCCAGCACATCAGTTTATCTGGCGCCACCGAGTGTTACAACTGGATGTTGGCAACTTCTGCCACAGAGTGGAAACAACATGAACAGAAAATCGCATGCCCATCTTCCAGCTACAACCGTGGCAAGATCTTCTGTTAATGCAAAGCCGAAAACAACATGGCAGTCTGGGCAAACATTACCAAATCATACACAGGAGCAACGCACCACTCAGCTTATGACTGATTTCATTAAGAGCTCTTGGGCAACAAACAGTTGAAACAAATACTTTTCAAGACAGATGCCAGCTGTTTATTTCAATATTAAAGCTCCAGCAAAGTTCAATATACCTTCTGAAGCACATTTTCTCTGCCTGTGGCCATTACTGCCTGGAGGTTTTAGAGCTGAATTGGAGCATGCTGGCAATTTCTGTCTTTTCCAGGTGAAGTGACAATACACAGGTACCCTTGGGTATCGTAACCCTCCTGCTACATGTATGGAAAGCTATGGCCTACTAGACTGAACAAGGATGGTCTTCCATTCCCTGAGAAGTCCCTTCCCCAAGACCTTAAATGTATGAAGAATGGAACCTCTAGCGTCCTCTTTTTTGCCCTTCCATGAAATCAGAGGTGGCTCAAATTCAGTGATCTGATTCTGACTCCACAGTCTGAACTATGGTAACTCATAACCACTTTATATCTCGGCCCTTTTCAAGTTAGGACAAAACACTGCCCATATTGCAGCAGAAAGCTTCCTACTATCTGCTAAATCAGATAGCAATATTCTAAAAATAATGCTCTAAATAGTGGTGAAAACATTAGCTTACATGGTCAAAAAGCAACAAAATAAGTAATTTTGAAATGAATATACCATTTCAAATAAACCAAACTAGGAATGTGGAACTGGAGCACACAGTTCAAAAGAATATAAAATGAAATACTACTCTGAATGTTGAGAATTGCCATAAAGGAAAATTTTCAACATACAATAATACACAAGGTCTGAGTCTTATTTACAAGAAATCTATTTAACAGTAAAAATATGAGAGTGCTATGGAGACCTTTTCTTTTCAAAGTTTTGGAAAATAGAAAAAAATGCACTCAGAAGTAAAAAAGACAGACCATTTTCTCCAGATTTTCAGTTAAAGTTTTAGTTTTATTACCACTTACTAAACTCTGTGGATTGAATCTCAGAGGCTGTATTTAGCTTTATGTATGTGAACAGTCCCATCTAGGTAAAAAACTGTTTGTAGGTTTGGGTCAATCAGTGAAAACATACATTACATCTCAGAGACACTACCTGATTACCACTAACCTGAAAGAAAGCCCGAGCTTCTCTGTACCTACATTCAAGAAATCTAGAGTGTGACATCTCCTCTAGAAAACTGGACGGGTTTTTTGGAATTTGAACTTTTAAGTCATCAATGGAAACAAGCAGAAGTTCCGGCCTGCAGGGAAAGAAAGATGATAACATTACCCCATTCAATTCCTTTCCAAACCACAAGCCACTTTTTCCTCTAGCTCAGGTTAAAATCTTAATGCATACTACCGCCAGTGATTCCTCTGTCCAAATACACCCAAAACCAATTATAAAAGAAGAGCAACAACAGCTTCAACAAACTCCCCATACACTTCAAAATGTTATTTAAAAAGAAATTCTATGCCTATAAGCCCACACTTCGTTTGTCAGATCACAGATTCCTTTACTGACTTATGACTTGCACTGGATTTGTTCAGAGCTGTTGTTTAGTGCATTTAAAAACTCAGACTATTTATTTAGCTGTCTAAGTATGGGATGCACTTAAGAACCAAATTTTACCCTGTACTTTGCGGCTACTTGCATTTAAAATTTAAAAAATGTTCAGCCTTCACAATGAAGAAATGTGATATTTAACAGCTTACACAGTTGACTTCAGATGTTTAGGCATATAACCAGTACAGATTCCACGTTTTAAAAGGAAGAAAGAATGGTGTCAATTCTAAGGAAAAAGTTAAACAGATTTATTTTGACCTATGAAACGTCTGGCTGTTTTTCTCTGATTTATGGCATATACACATACCCTACAAGAACACTGTTCTCAAAGCCTAGTGGTATGTGCTTGGCTTTGAAAATAGTGGCAAGATTTGCTGTGATCTGTATTTCCTGAAATACTGCTACTGAAAGCATTGTAGGAAAAGGCAGACATTTACAGTAACTTTACCAATGTAATGCAAAGTTTAAGCATAGAACTATGGACAAGTAACACCATCAATTCAAACATTTATGCAAGAAAGGAGTCCTCTCAGCACATTAAGAGCATGGCTTACATGCAGCGGTTGGCACATGTCTTTGTAGTACAAATGTCACCACTCTTTATTCTTGTTCTTTAACACTGATTATTTGGACTGTTACTGAATGGATTTCTGTTGCTTCCCCTTTTCATTTAATGTTCCATACCTGTATGCCACTTTGGGATACATATCGTTACAGAAGGAACACCAAGTATCTATCAGCTAGTGCTAAATCTCTTGCCACTTATACTTTACCCCTGTGTTGATAGCATAGATCGCTATCAACAGATTTCAAACTTTTAAATATATATAATGGTAAACCACTGACTCTAGCAGAAGATCCAACCTCAGTCATGACTTCTTTGACTTCTCTCATCTTTCTGCCTGCTTCGACCTGGCTACACAGCAGCTTCCTCTAAAATGTAGTTCTTGATTTATGAATGGTGGGAGGCTCTTGTTTTCAGGTAAACAGAATTGGATTTGCCTTCATACCTTAATTTACCTGCACTTTGAGGGCTGAACCATACATAAGCTGAAATTTACAACCTGACTTTAGGAAAAAGAGTAATTTTATATACAGGAGAAAGAAGTTATTTTGGAAGTGCCATTATCACTTTTTCCCTCCTCTGTTTTGAACTCACTTTTCATATGCTCCAGGGTAGCGACCAAAGTGGAGTTTCCGAAAAGGCACAAACTTTCTGTCCATATGTTGCTTGAGTCTCAGGGGGCCATGCCAGAGATAATTACCACTCCTCTCATAGAAGACCACCAGGTGAATGGCATGAGATGCCAGTTTAAATATGTAGTGCAAGGGAATTTCAATCCCAGACAGGTCATCCATCCCATCCAAGCGGGGGTCCTTGTTTATAATCTTTAGCCATTGGAACCCCATTTTCTCAGCAGTTCTAAAAAGGTCCACCTAAAAATGAGAGAGAGGAAGAGACAGAAGGAGAGAGAGAGAAGCTAAAGATTAGAGAAACCAAAATTGAATGCTAAATGATTATAACTGACATTATTCCCCATTTTCATTCTCTAATCAGACTTAAGCACAAAGTACTCAAAAATTTCTAAACCTTAAAGATCAGCAGCCACAAGCAATTCCAACCACTGTTTCCTTGTCTCATATTTTGTCCCTCAAACTATTCAATCAAACAACAAATAAATGTTGTAAGCCATGCTTGGACTAGGTTTGCTCCTTGCCATAGCACCCCTCTCTGCATCCTCAAACTTGTTCTGAACTTGGAGTTCATAAGTCCTTGAATAATGATACCACTAATACAAAAACGATTACTGCAAAATCTTCTTTTATGATGTACATAAATATTTGTCTAAATCTCACCAAACACGGAACGTTGCACTAGCTAACAGGCTTTCATACTTCCATAGAAAAACGGAATGAAATTCTGGCTGATAAGAAAAGAACCAATCAACACCCAAAGACCTGTTCAGTTACGCGTCTTGTACTGTTTTATACAGGCATATCAGCTTCTCCTCTGGATGCTACGGATATTATCAATGAGCCACAAAGGAATGGGAAGATGGATTTATATTAGTGTGCTGCCACACAACCTTATTCTCAGTTTCTTTAATTCCTTTATAGCTATGCCTGATCAGATTCAGAGTGCCACCACTCTTCACTTGAGTGGGACTTCTTCAGTAGAATAGTCACAGACCATTTTAATGTCACCTGCTTTTTCTAAAAAAAAAAAAAAAAAAAGAGAGAGAGAGAGGAAAAAAGAAGAAAAAAGCTGTTTGTCACTAGTATCTTTAGTCTGTATAAATTAATCTAATAAATATTTCCAGATTACACTTAATTGATGAAATAATCTTGGATTCCATTTTGTCCTTCATCACATGCTACACCTCTACTTTTTAACACAGCCATTTAAAAATCTCAGTACATCAAAGAAAAGCAGAGATACCAATATGCTAAGTGACAAAATAAAATGGTGTTAAGTACAAGGATGTACTGAAAGAAATGTAAACCAGCAGACTGTGATAATCTTTCCAGCCTTGTCACATCAATACCTGCACTTCCTCCTTGATAGATCCCCAAACCAGAGATTTATTATGGCTGTACCTACATTACAGGCATAAGGTTTTCCCTCCTCTGTTCTAACAGATGACTTTCTTTTTTCTTTTTGGAGTGGCCTCTTAGTACAAGTGTTTATGAATATTGCAGACAGCTTCTAAAAACTTTTAGTTATCTGTAAATGACTCTTGATATATCCAGGCTAGTGCCTGGATACCTTTTACTTTTAAAAACCAGTTTCCTCTACCAACACCTTTACAAGATTTCCATGCAATGAATTCAGCGACCTTAATACAAACACAAAAGCATTATGTCACAAAATCATAGAACAGTTGAATGCATTACAATACACAAATGTGCACTGAAGAAAAGGCACTTACTTCATGTTTCCATGTTTTGTCCAGCAGTGCAAACGTAGTAAAGTCTCTTGGAGCACAAAAGTACTTGCATTCTGGACTAGGGCCATCAGGAGAACTTCTGATCTGTTCAAAGTCTTTATCAACCAGTCCCAGAATCAAAGGATCAATCAGATACACTGGTATATTGTGACTGGATAGTAAGCCTAGGAACTTCCTAACCACATGCTGTTTGACAGAGGATAAAATTGTAAGTTAGAAACACCACCTTTAAGCGTGCAAACGTTAATACATTAAAACCCTTTGAGAGAAGGTAAAAAAACCAACCCACTGACAGAAGGAAATCTTATCTCCCAATATATTTTCTGAATGTGCACTTTACTCCCATTAACAGTTGTGGAAATGAAAGTTTCTCTTTCAGAAGAACAGGCTGCTCTCAGGCTTTCCAGGTCTCTAGGACTAGAGTAAAAGCCTTTCACCTTCAATTAGAACTTTCTACAAGTTAAAGCACTCTAATTCTAGAGTGCTATTCTTGAGAATGGACTCTAGGCTAAACTCTAAATTCTTTCCAGTTCTATATTGACTTGGAAAGCACTTGAATAAACCAGAGATTATAGGATGAGATGTCATGCACGTGTGGGTGCTGAGGGAGCTGACTGATGTCATTCCAAGGCTGCTCTACAACATCTTGAAAGGCCATGGTGGTCAGGAGCTGTTCCTCACATCTGAGAAAAGGCAAATCTCATGCCATCTTCAAAAAGGAGGATCTGGGGAACTCTGGTCACCTTCATCTCAGTCCCCAGGAAGTTTCTGGAGCAAAAGCCCCTGGAAAGTCACATCCAAGCACATGAAGGACAAGGATGTGACTGGGAAAGCCAGCCAAAGGCAAACTGCACCTAATCACACCGACTGCCTTTGAAGAAGCCTGTGGGCAAGGCAAGAGCAAGGGACACTGTTCACACTTTGACTTTAGCAAGGCTTTTGATCCATTCCCACACAGTATCCCCAAACCTCAGCATGATGCTGGCTGTGTATGAAGGGTGATTCAGTGAGAATGTAGGAATTGAGTGCTATCCACTCTTTGGATACTAGTGTACGCAGGGCACTCAACCATGGCAATGCTGTATAAGGGGTTAATAGCTGTAGCAAGAAGGTCCTGTGCCTGATGAGAGGATTTATTAACTTGACTCAGTGGAGAATTTTAATCAAGTACATTTAAATGTCCATGGCGCACAGAAGATTTACAGCAATCATAGCCATCCTGCTATTAAAAATGTAGCTGATGTATTTAACTGTAACAATTTAATTTAATGACTTAAAGCACCATTGTAATCAGAAAAAAATATTTGCTTAGAACAACACTGTCAGGCTTTATGTCTGTTACATATCAAGGTTTCTATAAGAGGTATGATAAAGGAAAACAATGGCCTGCTGCCCAAGCTACCTGCCCAGCAAGCTGACCCTGACTTTCTAACTGAAGCTCTAACTTTCCTCCTGTCCAGCTGCTAGAGTCTGTTCAATCAGACTCCACGGGCCAACCTCCAGTTCTGGCATGGGCCTTTGGCTTCAGAGAGATGTAAAACTGTGAGGACAGAATGTGGATCAATAAAGAGAATTTAGGCAGCAGCACTACATGTGCTGTTCAGGCAGAAGAAAGGCCACCCTCCTAGTGATTTCAGCTATATGGAGCTGAAAGATAAGTGATGTGCTAGCATTATTTCTGTAACTAAAACTAGCAGATCAGACTGATGAACAGGAAGCAAATCCGTGCAAAAAATATCTACTTCCCCCACACACACACACTTCTCCAGGGAAACAGATGTTTTTAGTTGAAACTTAAATAATTGGTAGAAAGAGATGGCAATGATGTCAAGCGGCTAAGAGAAATGCATTCAAATAGAGTATTTTGGACTCATCATGCAGAGACCCTGAAGAAAGCTTGGAGTGCAACAGGTCCCTGACAGGACTGTGGAGCATTCTGCTTCACTACTAATGATCTCATAAGATCAAGTTAAAGCTTAATGAGAACTCTGTCCACAGACTGGCAGATTGGAAGCCCACTGTGACCATGTCACCTGACACCTAGTAGGTAGTCCCAAGGGGTGCCACCTCCAAGAATAGTGAGCCGTTCCTGGCACAAGCAAGCAGTCCACAGAGAGGTTGGTTTGGATTATTCCCAAGAACAGCTCTTAACAGACCACCTCATACCTCTCTTGCTCAGCAGAAACAAGGCATTTAAACAACTATTTTGCTAACTAGCAACATTATCATATTGCATCCAAAGCGAAAGGCAGCCAGCTCCCAGCGCATCATTCTCTTTAACCATCTGTGCTGTTTTTCCTCTGGGAGATCTGTTAACAAAAGACTTCTGTAAAAGTGTTTCCAAACAAATGCTAACTACAAATATCATAACTGAGCTTCTGGTTCCCTCAGGCCAACATGATGTTTTGGTTACATTCAATCCTGCAAACCTTAAGCAAGACACAACAAAAAATATCCCATTTCAAGTATCTAATGGCACTCCTAACACTGCTCCTTAACACTGGAATACAGCAACCAGTGAATGCTGAAATGTAACATCTTCCCGCTCGTGAAGAGCTTTATGACCCAGCATATGCAAGTTACACAAAACACTGAGCAGCAGGTTAAACAACTGGAGCAAGCAAAGGGGTATTCTGTGACCTAAGACTTGCAGCCAATCTTTTACCATGCTACTGACCATCGAACAAGCTGCATGGTCAAACAAAGCAATCTTTTCAATACTCAGTCTGAAAGAACACAAAAGCCTGGATCAAAACTTCCGTATCAGAAAGAACCAGTTTTGCTTCTTAAAGCACTAACAACAGTCCTAAAGACTGCACAGGCAAAGGCTGCTAAGCTGTAACTGTTTCTCAATTCCATTTTAAACTGATGTTTTGAAATACTTCGTAACTTTGCTCAGTGATAAAACTATCTCTTAGTCCTTAATACTAGAAAATCCCCAGTGAAGAGGAAAGAGTACTGGACCCTAAGTTTGCAATTCCATGTGAGTTCTGTGAGACTTGCAGAAGCACTATACAAACCAATGATGTTGTACATACCCATCTAGTGCTGTCTTGGCCTGACTGGCTTCCTCTGACTTTGGAAAAAACTGCTCCATTCTATCAAAACCAAAGAAGGGGAGGGGGAGGGAGAAAGAAAAAAGAAAAAAAGTAAGTTTCAGTTGAATCTCTGCTTAGGATTTCTTAACAGGACATTCGGGGGCATTTATCCAGTTAGTACTTCATAATTATGGCAGTGGTTATCCCCCTGGTCACCCAACTACAGTACTGAATGTGAAATCATAAACAACTGCTCAGGCTTAGTGTGTTTAGAAGGACAACGCAAGCCTTGGGGACTTCCAGACATGCAAGGATTGCATGATCAGGTCTCATGTTTCTAAGTCAATATGTCAGTAAATGTAAAATAGGAAAATGACAAACACAAACACTGTTAGGCAAATACCACTGGGGGAAAGACAGCAGGACTATGCCTCAGTCTTTCCATATGTAATTCCATAGAATTAAATTTGAAAGAGAGTATATATTCATATGATAAATCCAAGGCGGTTAGTGGCTCAGCTTTTAGCTTTTCAAAAGTGTGAAGAACTTCTCATTCATGGCCTTGTTGTTTACCATCAGAAACTACAAGAAAGAAGTCAAAGGTTACGGTACCACCTAGCACTAAGACTGCCTGCATTTATTAAGAATGTTTTCACCAAAAGAAAACAAACTCAGGCGACATGATGCCCATGCGGTTCTTCTGCAAAAATAAACTGACTTCCTTTGTTGAATCTGTGTTGCAACTGTAAACTATGAAAAAACCCAGAGTATTTAATTTATAGTGAGATCCACCTCTTTTTCTGTTATAGAAAATCACACTTAGCTAAACATTCCACGGGTGGTATAAAATCAAGATTTAGTCTATAATACCTAGAAAATTAAGAACAGTGAATCACAAAGACACTGCAGAAAAAGCTGGGTTTTCTTTAAAAAACACTACTGTTGAAAAACCTGCGACCAACAAATGCCGCCTTGTTTGTTTCTTCAGAAAAGCCCTACGATAGCGCTTGGTTTGGCTTCACTTTCAGTAAGTCACTAGACAGCAAGAGTAGGAAGGCTTGTGAAGATTAAAAGCCTCAGTGGCTCAAACCTGCAGCCGAGAACACCAACCAGCATCCCATTTTAGAATTAATGGGATGTCTCTGGCTGACGTAATGACTTGAACGTCAGGATGACAACTGAAATCCGACTGTACCCCTGCCACCAGAAACTTCCTTGGTCATCCTAGTATTGACAACTTCGTGTCAATACTATAGGAATTGCCAGCCGTGTGAGAGAAGCTGTGGGGTGGTGTCGATGCTCCTGAAGGCCTCTGAAGAGAGCAGGCGTTACACTGGGTTATTCCACAAAAGCAAGCCTGCGCGGGACAGCACGCTCTCACCTTCTGCGACAGGTAGAACTTGTAATAGTACAGCTGGAAGAGGAGGAAAACCAGGCTGGTCAGAGAAAGGAGCGCCAGGACCGCGTTCTTATTGATTTTCTGCATTAGTCTTCGGGGCGCTCCCGATCACCGCCTGGAAGCAGCACGGCGTCTCTCATCTTCTCCGGTTTCCCAGCTCCTCCCTGCGCGCCGGCAGAGCAACACGGGGCGCCGGCCTAGGCCGCGCCGCCAGCCCGCCGGCCACAGCCCGCAGGCC